TGTACTCCTTAAGGACCTAGAACGACTTTTCTAGATGCCCGATGTGGAGCTCTATTCCCAACGATTGTACCAGTATGTCATCGATGTAGACCTCCATGGATGTTCTAATTTGCCTTTAAAACATTCGGTTCACCAGGCACTGGTAAGTGGCTCCAGCATTCTTTAGTCCAAAAAGCATGACTCAATAGCTATACGTCTTCTACTCAGTTATAAATGAGGTATTTTCTTGATCACTAGCGTTCATCCTGATCTGGTTGTATCCCAAGAAAACATCCATAAAGCTGAGGAGCTCATGCCCCACAGTGGCATCCACGATCAGATCAATTCGAGGCAGGGGGAAACTATCTTTGGAGCAAGCTCGGTTGAGGTCGGTAAAATCGATGCAGAGGCACCACTTGCCATTGGTCTTCTTGACAAGGACCATGTTTGTCATCCAGGTAGGGTAGTCTACTTCCTTGATGATTTTGGCATGAAGAAGCTTGCTGACCTCCTCATTGATTGTCTTTTGGCATTCTGGGGTAAAACTTCTTCGGTTCTATCTACTGGGTTTGTAGGTAGGGTTCACGCTGAGCTTATGTGTAATGACTAAGGGGTCGATGCCTTCCATGTCCTTTTGTTTTCAGGCAAATACTCTCATATTTCTCTTTAGAAACTGTACGAGGAGGTCTTTAATTTCTCTGTTTAGCTTAGACCCTACGTAAACCAAGTGCTCTGGCCCTCATCAAGCTGAATAGGCTCTAGCTCTTCTGATGGCATAGGTCTAGTTTTCAGCTCGTCTCTCATGTCGAGCTCATCTAGCTGAATGATTTCAACTTTTTTCTTCTTTACATATGTCATGTAGCATTCTCGCACTACATATTGGTCTCCTCGGACCACTCCAATTCTATTTTCTGTAGGAAACTTCATAACGAGGTGATAGGCAGAGGGAATGGCCCTCATGGCATTGAGGAATGGTCTTCCAAGTAGGATGTTGTATGTTGAAGGAACATTAACCACTATGAATCACACTATAGTGGTGGTCTGGCAAAGGAGGTCCCCTAGGGTGAGCACAAGTTGGATCAATCCTAGGGGTAATACCCTCTCCCTAGAAAATCCTAAAAGATAAGCACTTATTGGCTCAATTTTTTCTCTACCTAAATCCATCTTGTCAAATGCAGATGCAAAAATGATATCTACAGAACTCCTATTGTCTATCAAGACTCGATGGACAGTTCTGTTGGCAACAACAGCTCTTACCACTAAGGGGTCATCGTAAGGATGCTGGCAGCCTTCCAAGTTTGAGTTCGAGAAGGTGATAGCCATGTCCAAACGTGGCATCTTGGACACAGTATACACCTCCAACATTTCATCAGCTCTAATCTTGCGCAAGTGAGCTTTCCTGGTTGAATTGGACTCCTCTCCTCCTACAAACCCCCCAAATATCACTCTAATTTCCCTAAGAGGTTACTGAAGTTGCACAGGGGCTTGCTGCTGGGTTGCCCGTGGTGGTGGAGCTTAATTCTGATTTTCATGGGCCACAAAATGACAAAGTTTCCCTCGTTGGATCAAAAAATCAATTTTCTTCTTCAGTTGGATGCAATCATCGGTGTGGTAGTCGTGATCCCTGTGGTATTCACAGTAATTTGTAAGATCTCTCTTTGCTGGATCTGTCTTCATTCGATGAGATCATCTTAAGAACTTATCATTCTATACCTCATACAGGATCTGGGATACTGTGGAGGTGAGAGGAGTGAACTGCCGAGGCACGTGCCTTGGCTGCAGTTGTGGCTGCGGAGGTCCTAAGCGATCTCTAACATTTTCCCTTCTCTTGGGGGAACGTTCTTTGTTTCTTCTCGGAGATCTGTCTCTTTCTCTATCTTTTCTGGGACTTCAGTCTCTCTTTTTCTCTTCCTTCCCTCTTTCTTTCTAGGTTGATGAGCTCCCTACCTTAGAGAGGAGGGCTTCCTCAAAATTTCTATATTTTTTTGCCTTAGTCAGCACCTCTACCATTCTTGCTTGCGAATTTTTTAAAATGGAGAACATCAAGTCTTTTGTCTACACTCTCAAACCAGCGATGAAAGCAGTTATGGTGAATTTCTCATCTAGGACGTCCACCTTCAAGGATTCTGAGTTGAACCTTTGGACATACGATCGCAAATTTTTGTTGGGTCCTTGCTTTACGTTTAACAGATGACAACTCAGTTTTCGGTAGGTCCGAGCCCTTATGAAATGGGACACGAAGGATATGGAGAGCTCCTTGAAGAAAGAAATTGAGGCCAGAGGAAGTCTATTAAATCATGTCAAGGCTGAGCCCATCAGCGTGATGGCGAAGGCTCTGCATCGCACAAAATTCTGATATCCATGCAACTCTATCTGGTTCTTATAGATGTTGAGGTGATCCATAGTATCTTTAGTCTCGTCAAAAGCCTCTATTTGGGGTATTCTGAACTTCGAAGGAAGGGAAAAATGCAACACCCCTACGGTGAATGGGAATGCAGTCTGCTGCACCAAGGCGTCCTTCATGGTGGTGGTTTTACCTCTCACGACTTTCTTCATGTGAATGAGCTCCTGTTGTATGTCTCTAAAGCATTGTTCACAGTACTGTTCTCTTCTTTACTGTTGGACAGGACAAAAATTGTTCTTTTTGTCCCCATCATTTGGCTCTACACTTCTTCATCTTCACCATTCCTAGGGAGCGGCTGGGGAGCCTGGCTGTTCTCGTTAACTTCTCTATGGGGGTCAAGGTATTGATGCTCCCCTTGTGGGGGACCTCCCTGGGCTAGTCGTGTCTATTGAGGACCTTGTAGGAGATTCAAGAGTTCTTTGTTCTGTCGGAGCAGACGCTAATTGGATAGGCGAAGAGCCTCCACCTCACTATTCGTTGGGATATCCACCATGGGTAGATTAGCCTCGGTAGTGGGAAAGAAATTCTTGAAGATTCTCGTGTTGTCTATCACTAGTGGCCTCCTATTGGTTCTGCATCCGAGGAGGATTTACTTGGCTTATGCTTATGTTGCGAGTTGAGACCATCAGTTATTGAAGGATCAATGTATTTGTAACGAAAACAGTCGTTCCCATAGATGGCGTCAAACTGATAGTGTAATTATGAGGATGAACAACATATATGGATCGGATAAGCAAGTGTGAATCTAAGCTACAAGGCTCGTGAGAATTGTGGCAAGGCTCTTGGAGAACAGGGATAATTTGCATAGTAAAATTACAGTAGTTCACCAGCTCAGGAGCTCGACTAATCCACTCTTTAATAAAGTTTTTTTCTCCTTCGATGTATATTCTCATTTTTCGTGGATTGCAAAGTATTTCTGTTATAGCTAGGGTTTCTTGCCTCACATTGGAGGCTCAGTACATTATTTATAGTCTAACTCCTAACTTTATGGGATCTCCAGCGAGATCTTCGCCTTCCATCCATAGGATCTCCCTTAATTTTGGGAGAGGATCTTGGTCAGTTAAGAGTTTAGTACCTTGATTATAGCCATATATTGCATTGGAGGTGCCTTCCGTTGACTGGCTATTTGCTTCTCATTTCGCTTATAGCCTCCTCTGAGGGGAGCTTGTTGAGGGGAGCTCGAGGTCTGGATCATGGAGTTCTGGCCATTTTATCTGACCTCCGCACCCGAGCTCAGACTTAGAATTTATTCTAGGTATTGTCACTGTGGATTTTTTTTATGTCATAAACTAGAGAGTAATAATTGCACCAAAATTATTCTTTAAACCTTAATTATATGACTTTGCTTTCCATTGTGTTCCACAATATCTATAAACATTGTGTGTGAGTGTGTGTGTGTGTGTGTTTGTGTGTGAGTGAGACAATGAGAGAGAGAGATGGGGAATCAGGATTACCTGCAAGTTTTTCCGATAGCACATGCAAACATCTCAGCTGGTTTCTCCGTAGGAAGACGTTTGTTTTGGACCTTCGAATAGGTGCAAGTTAAAGTAACCGAGAGAGTACCCTTCATTTCCCTTCATTTCCACCATGCTAACCGCCAATTGACTATTGAAGCCGCAAAATGTAATGAAAAGGGTTTTGATTTCCATGCAAAATCTTGGCAAGTAACCAGTCCTTGCTTATTATACCTCGCTTTCATTGTCTATTCGACCTTAGAATTAATATAATGATCCAAATACCCCAGAGTTATGTGATACAATGTTGTTTTGCTTGCGTGTGTGATTATAAATTGCTTCACTAGTGTCATTCTCTAGTACAAGGTTTGGGTCTGTTGCCCAGATCCAAATGAAGTAGTTGAGAGGTTGCTAAATTCGGAACTTGTTAGAAGTTGGGCTCAGACTCGGCTCACATGTGGCTCCAACAGAACTAAAGTATTGACTAAAAGGATTGATGGGTTTACACAGCAAAGAAAGAAAGGCAGATTATAACATATTAAACTATACAATTGTACGACATAAAAAAAACACCCACAAAGCAATTCCAATGAGCGAGAGTGTTTAAGAATCTTCTGTCTCCATTTGCTTAATTCTCCTATTATGGCACATTAAATTGATAAATTAACATCTTTTCCATGTAATTGTTCCTCAAAATTCAACCAATTGATAGACTTTTTTTTTTTGTTCAACAATTAAGAATGTCTAAACCAATTTACATGCACCTTGATTAATTTTCTCCTCAGTCTAGTCAAAAGTAGGTCATTCATGCGGAGAGTAGAGTATTTATGAAAAATACATTTCTTATAACTTGACTTTAAATAAATTTTTTACATTCGAATTCAAGACAAGACATCTAGCAAAACACCTTACAGTTATAGTTTGGAATATTTACATATGTGGAACTCTCAGTCACAGACCTTCATTACATGCTCATAACAACAAACTTAATTACCCTAATTGTTTATTAGGATATAACCAAATAAGTAAGCAAGTGTTTGTGATTGAGAGACATGATGATCTTCAATAATCATAAAATATAACCCCCTTGATGATAGACCCAAGTGATACATTATTATTGCCCCCACGTGCAGAAATTGTTCTTCATTGCCATACTATATACTTTATTTCCCAATGCAAAGCCACCATGAGGCGCCCCCACTTTCATCTCTGGCCAAAAATACTTCACCTCGGTCCTTGTTTACACCCTATATATGTAGAAAACAGATAAATTGAGAGAGAGAGAGAGAGAGAGATCTCCCTAACCGTCATCAACTACCTCTAGTCTCTACAAGCATCAGAGTTTTATCTCTCCGTCATCAACTACCTCTACACACATCAGAGTTTCATCTCTCAATATGAACTTGTGCTAAACCAATTGGTATCGACCAAAGCATGTGAATGTGTACTACTAAGCCAATTTGACGCACAAAAAAACTATGCCAAACTCTAGCGCTATATGCCTCTATCTTTTGAATAAAATCCTCAGACATGATAACTTTTTTTATATCATACGCCCAAATCTTTCATATATGACGACACTCTACAATCATCGGGTCATGCATGCACATATGATCTTTCTACTGGACTAAATAGCCCTATGACCATACACATATGCACAGGCTGCACCTTGGCTAGGTGCAGCGTATGCCTTTGGACAGAGATCAAAACTGTATGATGATAGAGAGAGCGAGAGAGAGAGAGAGAGAGAGAGACCTAATCAAAGTTGATCAGGGTTGAGACTAATTGAAGCTTATTGACAGATCATATAACAGGTAGAGCAAAAATAACTAGGGTTTTCATACCGAAACCAAGTTCAAGGTCGAACAGACAATGAAACTAAGGTTAGCTGCAAGACTGCTCGCTTGACAAGAATAGCATGGAAACCACTCACCCATAACAGATCATCAAAACATTTATACCAGCATCCGATAATATCATTTTTGGATGAACTAACATCGGATTTATAAGTTATAACCCATCTGCAAAAACCAAAAAACAATAAAATTATTTCTATATTAAGGAACAAATCTTGTAAAGAACAAAACAATAACTAAAGGAAATACGAATACAAAGAACAAGAAGAAGAAGAAATTACTTGGTCCGGTTGCCAGAGATTGAGATTACTCCAAAGAGGTTATGTCTTTGATTAGGGTATTGGGCTGTTCTTAATTTATAGAGGATCAGCTAAAAAGGTATCTAACGCTTAAGCGTGCTCAATACTGTAATGTTTCTCTCTATCTTCTACCAGGAGCACGTGGGAAGAGCTTTGACTCACAGGTGAAACAGATGAATATATCAAACCAACGGTGCATGTGCATCCCTTCCTCATCAACCAACCCCCAAGTGACACGGATATATCTATCACTATTAATGAAGGAGAAAAAAAGGGTTTGGTGTCCACCTTACATAAAATATTTTTCTCCTCTTTCTCTTTTTAATCATTATGACTTTTTGTCAAGCTAATAGCACTCTCGAGTAATAGCATCTAATTTGGGACTTATTTGGAAGATGTAACGATGTAATTTCAATATAATTATTGAATTAATTATAAATTTTAATGTTATATGAAATTTACTATCAATCTAATAATTATATTAAATTAGATTCTAAATTATTTTTCAAATAGGGTTTTCCGTGGACACTCAACCCTTTTTAGTTAGTATAAGTCCATGTATTTCACTCTACTCCCACTTGCATGTCTCTCTCCCTCTTCCAATTTCTTACTCTTTTATAATTACGCAGGCGGAAGAGCATGATAAAATCCTTTAGTGTGTTTATGTAGATGCCTAGCAAACAAAATTTTTATTATAATAGGGTCAAGGAAGAATTTAACGAATACAGTCTTATTCTGCGTGCAAAAAAAAACTATTTTTGTAATTTAGATTTTTTACACTCAATTTACAATGTAATAATCTTGTTGCTATGCGAAGCCCATCTTTTTATGGGGAGAGAGAGAGAGAGATCTGAGGGCGACCGAAGCACAGAAACAGACAAAGAAAGAACCAGGGTTAGCAGTGCTCGTGGTGTTGTGACGTAGTGGTGGAGTTAAAAGGAATTGGTGGATGGCTTTTCCTACAACCTCACCTGATCACATTTCCTATCTAACCCCAAATCCCTCACTTATGGTAACACTTTTTCCAGCACCCACAAAAACTCTCACCTACAACCATGCTTTTCATATATAAATACTGTTGAGGGTCAGATACTTATAGTCACTGGCGGGCGAGCATTTTAAGAACAAACAGCATCCACTTTTTAACTACTTCCAAGGGGTCTTTCTTCTCTTCACAGTCACTTATGATATCAAAAATAATATCATAAATAAATAGAAAAATATCTTCATATTTCGTCTGCAATAAAGTTCAATACAGAGATCTGTCCCCCTCGACCTTCAGTTGCATACCTAAACACAGGGTAAAGTGTCTAGATCCTCCAGGTACGACGTCAAGAAACAATTGACCAGGTCGTCCATATCATTTCATGGGAAAATTCATTATTTCTAGCTTAGATCAGTGGGTAATATTATGTTTATCAAATCTTGATCCAATTAATGTGACCCAGACCAACAGGCGTTTCATCCAATGATACTCTTTATTTTGTGAAGATTTTGCCTTCTTGAGATCAAGAGTTCAAGTCCCCCCTCCCTTCCCCCTCCCAAAAAAATAATAAAAAACAAAAAAAAAATAGCACAATTTTTCACAATAAGATAAGTGGGTCTTATTAAAATCTAATAACGAAGATTGTGTCACATCTTTTAATATGAAAGATTTGATAAATTTTTTTGGTAAGCATAGCATTTTCCTAGATCAGAAGCATTGATTGAACTCTTTTATTCATTAGTTGACCAAAAAAAATAAGAGGTTGCCCCAAGAAAAATAACCTCCCGCAAACGCGAAGCATCACAGCATATCCAAGCATGAAGAAGGGTATTGAAGTCACATTATCATGTTTTATAAGGTCATGTCATACCTAAGAAATGTAATCTCTAACGACTAAATATTTTCTTTACAAAATTTTAACAAATTAGAAAATCATATGATGATGACATGATAACCACCCCAACGTATGGATATAAATACTTCAGGCAATCACCTACATACAGAGACACCAATTGTAATTCATCTCTATATTCTTCTCCGAGTAATAAAAAATCTCTCAAAGAACAAAAGACACTATTACAATGGACTAGTCAAAACCCTGTTGAACCACTATATTCTCCCTAATTTTCTAACTGATCTTACCTCTCTACTTTACGCTTCCTATTGCATGTTCGCCATTCGCTGGTCATTCATCCACATTTGATCACTGTTTACATAACCATCACTGTTTCATAGTCTTGAGCTTATCAGTTTAAGCATTCAGTTTACGCGTTCGAATTTTAACACCATCAATCACCAACATTTCTGATCAAATAAATTTTATGTCACCAAGTTATCTACACAACTATCTTTTTTTTTCTTTTTTTGGGAAAAAATTGGTGAAAAATTGTTGGGCATAAATTTTTTACGGCCTCAGAAACACTTTTTTTTTAAAATTATGTGATGTATATGTGCGTTACACATAAATTATTTTGAGTTATAATTTTCATAAAAAATAAATTTAATTGATTAAATAAAAATATTAAAAGTATTGAGTTATAATTTTAGTTTTCATTCCTATTCTATTTTTTGTAGTGAGTTGTAGGTTTTGAGATTTACGGTCTATATATTACAATAGCTTATAATTCAAATTTTAAAAAATAAAAAAAAATGACTTTTATTTTTTACGGTTCAAATTGCTTTAAAATTTACTTTAAAATTAATTTAACGGTTAATATTAACACTCTAAATTTAATAGAAAAAATAGGTCCCTAAGGGTGTGTTTGGAGTAACTTTTTAAAAATACTTCTAAGAATTATTTCTCTTAACTACTTTAAAAAAAATAGTGTTTAAAACCGTCCCACCACTACCTCTACCCCCCACCACCACTACCTCTAACACCACCGCCGCCACCGTCACCGCTAATGCCTCTGGCACCACCACCACCACCATTGTTGCTGCCACTGCTGCCACCACCGCTACCGTCATCGCCACCACCACCATTGTCGCCACTATCATTGCCATCCACCACAACCGTCATCATTTCCTACCACCACCACTGTCGTCCATCACCTCTCACTCACACTACAATCGATGTTTAAATTCTTCTCTCCTCTATGTTTGTGATTTAATTTTGGATATAAATACAAATATATTTGTTGTTTACTATTTTTTATTACTTTGTGCCTTCAAGCACAAGTAATAACTAATTTATGAATATGGAAACATAAGGTAGGTAAATGACTAATTGTACCTCCAAATGATCAATCGTAGCAAGAAACAATGAAGTTTTACTCAAAAAAATCAATGACCAATCAATCATATAAATCTAATAGAATAAACAAATGTTGATCCCCTAGAACTGCAATTCGAACTTAAGCATAAAGAAGAAAATTAAAGACGACTATATCCCAACTAACTTCCTTCTTCTTTACAGGATTATGGATCTTTACATTGCATTTCTTATCATTAGTGATGTTAACACATGCTATTTGTTGAAATATGTCATGCAAGCAAAATATCTCTCTCAATTTTTAAAATGTGTGCTTGATATGTCCATCATGATAATCTAAACTGTTATCCCCAAGGGTTAGTCTAGTAGAGATGGGGAAGAGCTATCAGACATCTTGAGTTTAAAATTTGATAACTCTCTTGGGGTTAAACCATCTTTTTCTATTTCTTTTCTATCATCGTCATCTTCATCTATTTTCTCTCTAAAATACACAAATTCATAGTCTCTCTGTTGGATTCTTGATTGATCAAATAATTTTAAGTGAAGATTTAATCTCCAAATCAATAATCAATTATATTTGATTTACTATTTTTTTGATATTCCTCTATTTTAATTCAATGGCGGTGTATTTTTTCGTTATTTTTTATTGTTTTTTAATTCACTATTTTTGTGTTCATTGTTTTCAATATTTTTTGTTCACTATTTTTCAATACTATTGAGTTCACTGTTTTTGGATATATGTTTGACAATTCAAACGAAACTCCTTAACTAAGTAATTAAAATCTAATTACTTATATTAATTAAACACAATTTATCCTTCTTTTCAATTAAATCTATTAATCAAATTAATTTAGTTTTAAAATTAAGACCAAGTCTCATTAGTCCCATCACTATTTTTGTGTGCCTTATTTTGTGCTCAATATTTTGAGTTCACTGTTTTTTATTTATGTTTCTCAATTCAAATTAAACATCTTAACTAAGTTATTAAAATCCAATCAATTTTATTAAGTAAGTACAATTTAGTCTTCTTTCTAACTAAATCTTTTAATCAAATTCATTTAGTTTTTAAGTTAAGACTAAGTCTCATCACTATTTTTGTGTTCACTATTTGAGTTCATTGTTTGAGAAAGAAATGAAAGAGAGAGAGAGAGAGATAAATTCTTAGAGGATAGAAATTTGAGGAAGATATAAGAGAGAATGAGAGAGAGAGGGAGAGGATGAGAGAGAATCGGACAAATAAATAGGATAGAAATTTTTGTGAAATTGAGGAGAGAGAGAAAGGGATGGATGAGAGAGAATGAGAAAATAAACAAGAGAGAAAAATTTGTGGAATAAAAGAGCAACACTGCTATGCTGACCAAAATTTATTATCAATTTTTTTATTACAAGTGACGTGACACAGTTTTCACTATCAAATAAGTGAGTCTCAGTAATATTCAATTATAGAGATTGTGTCACATCATTTAAGATAAAAACTAGATAAAAAATTTAGTAAACGTAATATTACTCAATAAATATTTAAGAGAATTTGAGGTATAAAGGAGAGAGAGAAAAATGAACATATAAGAGAGGAGAGAAAGAGAGAGAACGAAAATTAACATATGAGAGAGGAGAGGAGAGAGAGAATAAGACAAATAAATAGAGTAATGGTAGATGAACTTAAAGTTATTTTTATCTTTGATTTTATGAATTTTGGCCTTAAAAGTGTTTATGCTAGAGCTAAAGCCTAACAAATTCCCCAATGTGAACTTGTTCCCTTTTTATTATGTAAAGCTTAACTTCTTGATTGCGAAAAATGTTATTTGGATTTAATTTGAGGACTTAATCTAGGGTTTTAATTCAATATAACCATTGGATTAGTTGTGGGCTCTATT